GAGTACATTAAAAACATCGAATCATATAATTTTAAGTAGGGTCTGTTTGGGAATTGCGTTTTCGATTAGCGTTAGCGTTTTGGATAAAATCTTAACGGTGCAGATTAAATTTGAAAACATTAATGCTAAAAGCTACCCGCTGATAGCCTTTTCAAAATGTCTAACGCTAACCTCTAAAGCTATTCTGAAACATAGCCGTAGTCGTTAGCAATTGTATTACGGGGTGGGGAGTACATTTTATCTTTTGTGACACCTGGCCAATAACGGAGTACAATTTTGAAGTTCCATATATTTGTTGCACAATTTCTTTATATTCATTCTGTCTTTGTCAATCCCCCAAAAAAATATCTGTTTTCCTTATAAGAAAAAGAATATACAGTTAAAAAATCTCTCTTTTCAATAAATTTCTATCAATTTTGTTTAAACATTTTTCTTAAATTTGAAAAAATCACACTCGTAATGTTTTTATAAAAACCAACTTCAATAGTAAATACTCCCTCCGTCCCACTTTAGATTACAATATTCTCTTTTAGTTGAAATTAAGGAAGAGTCAAATCAAATTTTTTTCTCCAAATTACCCCCCAAATCCCCCCTAATAGTGTGAATAGTGGCTGGCAGAAAAGAAAAGGGAGGGTAAAAGAGTCAAATCACTATAAAGTTATTGACTTTGTAATCCTTTTTGGGACAAAAATGTGAGGGAATATTGTAATCTATTTCGGGACGGAAGAAGTAGTAAATACAATGATTTTGGGTTTGAATGAGAAAAAAGAGTAGTCCGTATAATGGGAAAAACCCCATCATTACCACAGCTTCAAAGTTTGAAGATGAAGACAAGAAAACAATGAGCAAAATAAATAAAAGAGACAGTGGATTTTATATTTTCCCTAAGATCTCTCCCTCCTTTTTCTATTTTTTATATTAAAAAAACACAATTAGACTCGTTTAATTTCAGGTACCGGCAATTCCGATATCATAAATGTCCATAGTTTTCTTCTAGACTTCGTCTAGGTACATACCTCCTGTTTTGAGAAACTAACTCTCAGATACCTCATATTTTTTAAAATATACTTCGGGGTACTCTCTATTTTGAGAAATTATCTGCCGGGTAACTCACATTTTAAAAATATATTCCGGGATACCTCCAAATGTATATTAACTTACCTGTGAGGGATTTTTCGTTTCATTCGAAAGCTTCGATTAAACTGGATAGATTGTATCCTTATTGTTTTGGGAATTCCAAATCCCTATTTCTTAAAATTAATGCCGTAACTAGCTTTGACGGAGAGTGAGGCGGAATGTTACTCCCGGGTAAGTTAATGTATATTTGGAGCTACCCAGGAGCAGTTTTTTTTGGTTTTCTTCTCCTAAAACATGGCCATGAAAGAGGAAAAAAAAAGAATGATGTGTAAAATACTTGGGATTTAAAGTGATTTTGGTTAAGATAGTTAGGGTATTGGGGTCACCTCAACATGCAAAAGCACAAAAATATTTATAGTGGAAGACATTTTTCAAACAGAAGTTTAGTGCCCCTTGACAAGAAAGAAAGAAAGAAAGAACGAAACTGTTCCCTAGCTAAAGCTGTTTCTTTTCTTTCTTTCTTTTTTTGTTATAAAAATACGGTCCAACATATTGGTCTAATGAAGAAACTAATTACTTCCTTCGTCCCTCAGTTTTTGTCCATTTTTTACTTTTAGAATTGTTCATTTAAGCACTTTGACTCATCAAATTCTTTCAATGTGTAAGCCTAAATACAGTTATGTGTGATCTTGTTTGATTTGTCTTAACATATAGATTATTAATATATAATTTCTATAATTTTTTAATATACAAATTACAAGATAAAATGGATTAAAGAAGTGCATTGGATGATGTGTAAAAATGAAAATGGACAAATACTCTGGGACGGAGGGAGTAGAATTTAGAAGGTTAAACTTGTAATACATAAACTTTTCTTTTTATACTCTAATAAAGATTTACACTCCATCCAGTCACAAATTTATGTTTCTAGTTATATTTGTAGTCTAATTTTATCATATCTTAGTCTATATTCATTAATAATTTGATAAAATAATACAGAGTATAGTCACATGAAATTTTTTTATATTAGATTAAGAAAAATATGAATCACACTCAAATTCTATATATATACACCAATTGCTTATACACCAATTACTCATACATCAGTTACTTATACACCAATTGCTTACACCAGTTCGTTTGGGTTACCTACATCTCCCAAAAATGACACCAGTTACTTATACACCAATTGCTTACACCAGTTCGTTTGGGTTACCTACATCTCCCAAAAATGACACCAGTTACTTATACACCAATTGCTTACACCAGTTCGTTTGGGTTATCTACAGTGCTCCGTTTGTGAAAATGAGGGTTAGGGGGGTAGGAACCATCATTTTTACAATCGGAACACCGTAGGTACCCCAAATGAACTGGTATAAGAAAATGACACCATTAGCACTGGTGTCATTTTAGACTTAGTATATATATATATATATATATATAAAAGATTTTTTTTAATTTTTTTTAAATCTTGCTATGTGAACTTTTTAAGTAATTACTATAATCCCTTTATCAAACTTTAAACATAAGATTTCACACTCAAATAGAAATTAAGGCAAAAATAATATGCACATATTCTACTTGTTAAAAAGGTTTGGAGAGCTACCAACTCGTCTATCACTATTTCTGAATCTCACTAAAACAATAAAAGAGTCTCAAATAGCTTTAAAAGTGAAAATTTATATTCATAAGTAACAGATTTGTGAATTTTGTGATCTTTTATTTATGACTTTAGCGTTTCTAGTATTCTATTACATGTCATTTTAATTCAAAATTCATTATTTTCTTTTAAGACATCAAAATTTACTACACTTCAACAGTATTTTGGTCATCAAACAAGCCTACATACATGGCTACATGTATGTTAAAGGAGTACTTACTATTTTTAGATTGCCACAGATTTCAAGAAATTCTTTGTTCTCATTATGCATTTCCTATTTCTTTTCTGCCTTTCGTTGGCGGGTGAATTTATAATATACTTCCTCCGAGTATATATGATATGGTAGAGCCGGTTGTACCGGAAGAAAAGGTAGAGTCGTGTAGTACTTATTTTAAAGTAAACTAGTACTCATTCTCGCACAAAACTCGTAGTGTTCTTTTTCAACACTTGTTCGATACAATTATAATATTTATTTACGAATAACGTAGTGTTAATTCTAATAATAGTAGTACTCATTTTCAAATGATTTAGTATTCATTCTTAAAAAACATACCGTTCATAAATCTACAAATCTCTGTCTCTGAAATGGTCGTCCGCGTTCTTTCTTCTACACTAAAGACTCGATCGAGAATTAGAGCTCCGTTTTCTTTCTTCTACGCAAAAGACCCGATCGGAATTAGAGTAGTGTTCCTCGCCGATCGGAATTAGAACGCTAGCTACAAACCATCCATCCACGCAGCGTTCAGCGCCGATCAAACTAGGGTTTCCTGGTTACCGGTGGTCCATCCTTCCCTACCGCAGGCGTTCTCTTCCTCTCCACCCAAATTAAACTTAACGTTGGCTGTACGGGAAGAACCTTACCGCTGGCTATACAATACAAATTGCGACCTTCTCCGTTCTAATTTAAACCATTTATTTTGATTTATGTTGTTTGACTGAAGTTATTTATAATACAATTTATTTGAAAATCAGGGTAGAATTAAAAATTACGAAGTATAATTTACATATTTTTTCAAAACTACATCAAATATTCCACGAAACAAGAGATGACATGACTAAATTATTTTATCAAATGAGTAATTAAAATAGGTACAAAAAAAGTAATGAAAGATAGTTAATCGAAAATGACATGCAAAAAACAATGAACATATCATATGAGTATCTGTGTGTGTATGAGAAAACGAGAGGAAACTCAGAGCCATATAGTTAGAGTGGCCCTTGCATTAACCTTCTTTTTTCAGTGGTGAAAGTATAAGACTGTTTTCTTTAGTCATATCTTTCACCTCTCCCGGAGAGAAGTGGCCATATATGCATTACAGCAGCACTATCTGTCATATAAACCAAACAGTGCATTACAGTGATTAGGAGGGGGGGGGTCATGAAGTTCCTCAAGTAATGGGAGAATTTATTTTACCGCTGTTAATCCTTTTCCCCTAAAATATCGATTTGGGCACAGCCCAAATCGACATTTTAGGGAGAGGGAGAAGGGGGGTTCGGAGGGGAGGGTTAACATAATATGACCTAAGGTTTCAAGGTCAAAAGATCCATTTCGATAATAATAATGATAATAATAATAATAATAAAATTAAAATTAAATTAAAATTAATAATAATAACAATAATAATAATAATCTGTACGGTGAGATTATAGTCAAATCATACATAACAAACTCATAATACACACTTTAAACGTCAGTCCTTTATGTAATTAAGACAGTTAANCAAAGCCATATAGTTAGAGACTTAGAGTGGCCCTTGCATTAACCTTCTTTTTTGAGTGGTGAAAGTAAAAGACTGTTTTCTTTAGTCATATCTTTCACCTCTCCCGGAGAGAAGTGGCCACCTGTCAAATAAACCAAACAGTGCACGGTGAGATTATAGTCAAATCATACATAACAAACTCATAATACACACTTTAAACGTCAGTCCTTTATGTAATTAAGACAGTTAAGCATCGGTTATGGTAGCCTATCAGCAGTTTGCTACCATAATGGCATCTTGAAAGATACGAGTAATAAAAGAGTGGGTTTTTTGTTTTTGTTTTGAGCTTCCTGGACAAAGAGGGGCCAATCAATCACTTTTGATATCTCTAATTAATCTTTCTTCCACTAATGTCAATTCAAAGATAACACATGTATAGTATTCATTAAGCTAAGCATCATCAATCATGAATGAATGAAGGAAAACAAAACAAAAAACAAAGTATATAACTCTACTTTTGTCTTTACACTTTGTGCTGTTTATTTATAAAGGTACCTGGGCCTGGTGCAATGTGTCTGTCTGTTTCTTCATTTGCAGGAAAAGCATATTGGAGTAAGCTGTGAAATTGGGATTTTAAGTATTCTGCAGTACAGGAACAACTAAACTACAATATAGTTTCTACATTCTTCAATCAACTTCACCACAAAGAAGAAGAAGAAGGGTATTTCTGGGATTGACGACATTGTTACTTTGTTCTTGTGTTCATCCTTTCTTTGCAGGTAAGTGATAATACCCATAAGACAAACCATTGGTTTTCTGGTTCATCCTTTTTTCATCAACATCTATTTGTACACATTTTGATTTCATACAAATTGGTTCCCAGACAGAAGTAGAATAAAAACTTTCCATGAAAGATGAAGAGTGAATGGCATACCTGCATTGGCATGTGCAGACATCTCTTCATTTCAAAGATTAAACCAAACCATTATTTCTTGATGTTTCTTCCTTCATTGCAAAGAATAGATTCTAAACTCTCATCATTAGAATGTGGAATTTACTACCTTTGCCCAAGGGACACAACCCACTTTAATGATGTTGCTCCCTAGTGGCATTGTCAAGTGCATTCAAGACATGTCATGTTTCCTTTCATTTCCACCATTTAATATCTCAGTTTTGGTAAATTCAGCAGCTAAAGAAAGTAGCTAGATTACCTATCCAGATAAGGGGGTAGAGGAGAATACATCATCAATTCTTCATCTGTATTCTGTGAAAAGAAAGCAAAGCAAATATGAATGAGTTGAGCTCAGAAAGAAACAGTGGGGCTTGGAATATATATACAGCAAGTGCAGCAGAACCTCCTAGTCCATCTCAAATGGTTAGCCAGGTGGAAGGCGACAGTCCATGGAAAAGCTTTGGAACCTCAGCAAATGCCATTTCCTTCGGGCTATTAGCAACAGCCATCTTGATCTCCATGTTTCTCATCATGGCTATTTTTGAGCATCTCTTCAAGCCAGTCCCTGAGGATCATATACAAAACTTGGAATCAGGAACAACAATGCACAAGCATGGAAGCTCATCACAAACTGTAAGAAGTACTTTCCTCAAGATTGATTAACAATGAAATATTGGGCTGAGTTTGGATGACAGGAAACTCAAAAGTATGTGCAATCTTCTTCTTGTACAGATACCAGCATATTCTTCATCAGATTTCACGGTCTTGATGCCGGGACAGCAATATCCAACTTTCATTGCCCAGTATGCTCCCCACCCTTGTCAAAGGGAAGGAGTTTTTTGGCCATCCCATGAACATACATAGTTTTTCATAATCATAATAATGCTAGTAAAAGGACAAGTGATGGCACATGTGCACCCGAGAAGTGAAATATTTCCCCAATTTGCAACAACATTTGTATCTCAATCCCCCGTGTCTTCTATATGGACACAAACAAGCTGGGAAAGAGTAGAAGAAAAGCGGCACCTTGTATCAGAAAAAGGCAACGATATTCAACTATGGTTGTTAAGATGATTTTTTATGCAGTCACATGCATAGATTTTTTTTTTGTATTGGGGAAATTGAGGAAGATCAAAATAGATTACACGTACTTTTATGTGATCAGAAACACAAAATTAAAAATAAAAAGCAATATGTATGTAATACATCCCAATGTATCACAATAATCGCAAATCCAACATTTGCTGAAGAGCATTTCGTAAGGATAATGAGCCTCCACCGTATTCAAGTGAACATTCATTAGGAATAAAATGAGTAGAATAAAAAACAGATATGTAAAAGATAAAAGTATACGAACATTATTAAAGAACCATGAGCAATCGTAGAATAATTCAAAAATGTCACTAGATGTGTGTAAATCCAGATGTACAATATAAATTATCATAGTAAAGACATCAGCTCGAGCACACATTAACAGAGCAAGGTTCTCCAATCTGCTTAATCGGGTGTTGAACCTTCATCAGGTTGTATCACAGTGAGTAGCGAATACTTGACTTTCAGAGAAATCCTCCCCTTTTCAACCATGAGTCTTGCCCCAGAAACAACCCAATAACCTGGTGTTTCTTGTGGCCCTCTACTCATCTCAGTTGTATCAACAACCTTCAAGAGTTTAGGAGCTTGAATGGGAACTGGAGGACCACCAGGATAAACAGCAGAATTAATATTCACATCACCTGGCTGTGGATGTGGCAGCTTCTGAACTGTTGTGGTAAAATGATGACTGATCAGAGTTGATATCAATCCAGATTTGCGAGCCAGCCCAGGTGATGAACCGTCCCACTCTGGCTGTCTCACCATAGTAGCCCCCACAACGGATGAGAATTTGAGCCTTAGGAAAAGAACCTTTTTAAACCCATAGTCACCAACTTCCAGTTTTGCTCCTGTGACTATGGAAAGATCCTCATCAGAATCAACAGGTGCCGTGCAGACATGGGAGAAGTTCTTCCACTGGACTTTCTCGTAGTACTTGTGATCTTGGGGTTCTCTGTGGAAGTTTCCATGTGGATCATCTTCAAGTTGGAATATTTTTGGAAGAGATGAGAGGTGTTGCAAGTGAATGGCCAAGCAATTACTCCTTTTACCTTCAAGGTACAACCGAAGACCAGTCACAGGCCTCTTCTCAACATCAACCTGTCATAAATGCAATGGAAATGAAATGTTAGAGCCCGTTTGGTAAAACATAAAATGGTTGAAGTGGCCGAATTTGTTGAAATTACTTAAGTCGTGGCTGGAATGACTGAATATGCTGAATCATACTGAATATTTAAAATTAGACATTTAAACATTTAGAAGAAACTAAAGCTAAAAGTATCAATATCAGCTGGCCTAGTAACAATTGTTAGAGTTCGGTGAAAAAACTGACGGATAAGCCAAATTTAAAGCCTATAAAGCAGTCTCTTCATGCCATGTGTTGACCATTGCATACGAACTTATGCACCCAAAAAGAACACCAACTTGTGAAGTAAGACTACAAATAATGCCTAACCGATAAAAATGAACTGAACCCATATTTGCCATCTTGCCATCTAAGGAAAGAAGAATCTCACTCAACAAAAATCTCAGCATAAAAACACCAAAATGAGAAGAAAAAGTAGTGGAAAAGAATATATTAGTAATAGAATCATTGAGCTTACCGGAACAGTGTTAACATACAGCTTTGGACCCAAAAAACTAAACTGTAAAGAAGCTGAACTTTGCTGCCTTCTCTGTGGACCAAGAGGAAGGTCATTGAACACTGGTGCCCATTGCCGTGGCAGCTGAAATTCCAAAAACTGGTGAAGCTCTTCAATGGGTGGTTTATCTGGAAAGCAGAACCAGAGGACAAAAAAACAATCAGTATCTACCTATTTGATTATTTCTGTTTGAAGTATTCCGAAATGAACGCATCAGATGTTTGTTCTTTGTATGTTTAAAAGCAATGTATCACTGACATATACTTTGGATAAAATCAAAAGCAGAGGATAATGTCCCAACTCACAGCGCAAGTACAAATTGATAGCATGACTCAAAAATCCACTGCCGGTGATGCCATTCAGAAGGGACGTTATTGGGATAAAGGACATTGAGATTGCATCCGGCTCTAGCTGAACAGTGTGTAACCACTCATTATGGGTTAGGCTTCTGCGATCACTCCCACCTCTCCTCTTGCAAATGCTAACGATGTCCTGAAACAAAAGAAGTAAAATTTACAATTTTTTTAACAGAATACTCTGGTTTACCAGAGATGAAACAGAAGTGTTAGTGACATGCCTCCTTGTACACATATGAGCTTGATGTGCTAGCTTCTGCAAACCTCAGACGTCTCTCCCTAACTTCTACCTAAAGCAAAACGTTTATGTAGAAGAACAAAAAAGTTAAATATTTATATTTAGCCATTGGTGATTATGAAGAAGGGACAATAAGATACTAAACCTTGTCATTCTGATAACCCTGCTCAGAATCTGTTCCATATTGTTCACTGGCATCGGAAAATCTCTTATCTGCTATTGTCTTCAACCTTTTCTGGACATCAGCGGGTTCAAGTGACGAGGAGTGTTGTTGTTTCGAATATATAACATCCTTTCCACCCATCTTTATGCCAACAATAATGTGAGTACCAAATTTCTCAATGAACCTGGAATATGAAAATAACTTCATAATGTGAAGTCTCATATCAACTGCAACACTGACACTACGATGAAGACGAATGATTCTATGCAACTTTACATACTCCATTCGTCCCAAATTATAAAAGCTTTGATTGTGGTTAGCATAAAAAATATATTGAGTTATAATTTAACTTTAATGTCACAAGATTCATTTTGAAATGTAATGTTAGAATATTTTATATATATATATATATATATATATATATATATATATATATATAATCATAAATACCAAGGGTTAAAGGGTTGCATAAACTCTGAAGTTTTTTTGGGGACGGAGGATGTACTACATAGCAACCAAAACAATATTTTGTCTGTTGCCAACTACAAATTCAACCTTGCTAATGCTGCAGGATCCCATGTTGAAGGGACTTCTTTCTTCACGTGATCACACAACAAAATCTGAGATTTTTCAAGTGCAATAGTGTACAATGTGATGAAAACACCATCAAAAGCAAGATTTTTTGTGCAAGCAGCGTCCTTCTGCCAGCATCCAGAAAAATCAAACATTGCATTGAAGAGCCCTGATGGAATTTTACCAGTCAATGATATTTCCTGGTTGAAGTGCTCGGACATCTGGACAGTTCAAATAGTAAATTAAACATAGAGGATTGTGATGTACTTTCTTGGAATATATAGTTATTATATAATTATGTTTAACAACAAAAAACAAGAAATGCAAGGGGTTAGCCTAAGCAATTAAATGAAGCAAGGTAAAAGAATGGTGCACACAATGTGGAAAACACAAAGAGATTAATTACTACAAAAATGGCTAGACCAAAAATGAAGTAATATATATGAGCACAATGCAACAGTACCTGTTGGAAAGACAGAACATCAGATCGGAACCTAGTGCGTTCGCCTTTATCACATTTAATTGACTTGGGAACATTCTGGAGAACTGTTCCACCCGGAAGCACAATTTCTTGGCCCTCATCCTCGTCAATCTCAATCAAACGCCAATTGCATGGATCCCTTTTGCAATACTTAAGCCTCAAGTCCAAGGATATATCATAGCCACATCCAATGGACAGAATGGAAGCCTTGGCTGCTTCAGCAGGCGGAAGCTTTAGTGCCATTTCTCAGATGACAATCAGCCTCCAATTGCCCGCGAAGGTCATTTTTTCTTCTTAAAAAAACACTAATCTTTTAACATGAAACTATGCAATGCGTGCAATTTCCGGAAGCACTCTCACTCTCATTTGAGATTGAAAGTGCAGAGGACACTTCCCCCACACAAACAAGCACCAGTGTGTGCAATTGACAATTCTATACCAATGAAGCAACCTCAATTCCAACTAGTTCTATAGAATTTAACTAAGAATCCTCGAATCTAGGTTAAATGCACAGTAAATATCCCACAAATTAAGCAGCAAAACCCTAAGCCGTCTGATAAAAAAACCGTGAGCCTTTTAGAGCTGGCGTTTTCTCGATCGTCCACCTTCTTTGGCTGCCGGAACCGAGAATGAGATCATCGTTTGGCTCAGATCTGCAGAGCTGGTGTCGGCGATGATAAGCGGGATGGCGGAGAATCGGGAGACGAAGTCCCTGAGGTACGACTGAAAATTATTGGTCTGGACATAAGAGGAAGAAGAAACAGGACAAATAAACACGGATTACTACCAGCTTAGAACAATGGACCATGCTATGCTTAGCACAAATAAACGTGGTCTATGTTCGACACAGACAATTATCGCCTGTATTTGTTTGTGTGAAACATTTAAGTTGTTTCATGGGTGCACCCATGATAACACCAATGTGGTGGCACCCTAGCATTTTCCATGCAACCATACTTTGGGGGATGTTTATTGTTTAGCAAATTGAATGGGTTGACTTGATTTTTTCCGGAAGGTGTGACTTAATTAAATACTCCCCTTCCACATATAAATTTCACATTGCGTATTATGATATTTGACTGAAGTTATTTTCAAATCATTTTATATGAAAAATGATATAAAATTTAAAAATAAAAATTACATATTAAAAAACTATATCAAAAGATCTACAAAACTAGAGGTGACATGATTATATTATATTATGGGTGGCAAAAATAGGTCAACAAAACTATTTTTTCATTGCATTTTCCATTGTTTTGTACTTCGAATAAAGAAAATATTTTTCCAAAAAAATCACTTTCTATTGTTAACACGGGTCACACATGGTGGAAGGGGATGATGAGGAGGTGTTAGCACGGAGTGAGGGGTGGGTGGCGACTAGCAGGGCACGGTGGGGCGGGGTAGGGGNGGAGGGCAAAGGTAGACGGGTGTGGCAGGGTAAGAGCGGGGCGAGCGGTAGGGGTGAGGGCGGTAAGAAGGAATAGCAATGTGGGACGAGTGGGGGTTTGAGAGTGAATATGGGCGAGGGCGGAGAGTGAGTAAAACTTTTTCTTTAAAAAATAAATAGAAATCATTTTTTTGTTGAGAGAAAATATCTCCCTTAAAACATTGT